CAAAGTTGAGGATTTCCAAAATGCATAAATCAGAAAGAAAAGCACAAATAAATACGGCAGTTAGATTTGAACCGATAGCCTTATAATTTAACATTCTAAAAGTGACTCATTGGAGGTAGCACTAACGTGATTATTTCATGTACACATTTCTCTGTTGTGGATCACAACCCCAAACTTGAAATCATACAGCCACACATTCATGACTTACAGCTTTACAAATAGTGGGGCAGGGTTAAATGATGACTGTGAGCACTGGAATGGGATACCCTTTTCTTCTAAAGACGCTTGGGTGGGAAACAACAGTGAAATAATCCTGTCCCTTCCATTATTTTCCTGAGGTGAATCAAAACTGGTGGAGCACAAAGCAAGAAGATTTCAGCCAGGGAACTGCAAAGTGTATCAGTGACACAGAGGCAGTTATTTCTAACAGATGTCAATGCCTATGTGCTACTTGTTGTATCTCATCCACCAAAGAGTCTGAGATGCGGACAGATGTGGCCAAGGTAGGTCAGAGGACTGACTAAGGCAAGTTCTTGAGCTGGAATGTCAGTCCTGGGTGCGAGGTTTCCAGCACATTCAGACGAGGTCCTGTCAAAAGACAGTGTGTCTTGTACATGATGGGGACTTTCATTCATGGATATTAAAGACCTTTGAAGATGAAAACAGACCAGGGCGCTCCCCTAAGGTACTAATGGTACCCCCCCCCCGCCAAAACAAATTCCTGGTTGATATAAATGGTTTAAAGAGGACTATGCCGCTGACCTCGAAAGGAGACCTGCTTTGTAGTCCACGTCCAAGAGGTTGTCCGTGCAGCAGGCGGGGCGGGGTGGGCTTAGGCCCACAAAGCTCCTACAATCCGTCATTTATCTGGCTCACTGTTCAGCTTCCTCCTGTTCTCTTTCGCATGAAGGGAGTGTTACTCCCTTGCTTACCACCTCGGGACAGCAGGACTACATTTGCAGATGAGTACAGACCTAGCCACGAATCAAAGGTCATTTAAGGTCATCTTAAAGTCATTATAGGGAAGATGTATTTCCACACACTTAGGCATAAATAGCTACATGTGGTTATTTGCTTTGTACATGGACAAGATGTTTTCTAGATATCTAGAGATCTACACACAGTAGAAATTGAAGGCAACATCAGAGGGTGGATTTCCTTCAGGGCTATTTCATTTCTGCACAGCCAAAACATCTCTTTGTCTCAAGTTGCACATCCAACCCCATCCCACTGGTTCAAAAAGGTCTGCCTCTGGTGACTATGCTGGCCAAACCACGAAACCAGATCGGTTTGATTTGATTATTTCCACTGCTGGTCTCCACATCCAAGTTCCTATTCTCCTGGCCTAGGGGTCAACAGGCCTTCAATATGCCCCTGCAACTCAAAGTGTAAATACTGTGGACTACAGAATCACTGGACTCTCCAGTCATCTTATTCTAATGTACTAGCTGTTGAGGTCTATTTAGAATCAAAGTCATCATAGTTTTGTCATCTTCTTGAACAAAGCCAATCTGCACAACTTCTTACATATCTCCCTGAAGGAAGCGAACTCACCAAAAGAAATACAAAAGGCCAAAGAAGAGTGTAGCATAGATGCAAGACATGTGAGTTGTAGGAACTTATTTTCATTATGAGCTCCAGAAAAAAAAAAAAAAGATAAACTGGCAGAGGCACATTTACAATTCAGTAGCGCACAGAGTATTTAATATGCCATTTGCATTTTGACAGCTTAGAGATGTCTACACTGGATTTGCTGAATCTTCTGCAGTAAACACTAAGTGGCCATGGAGCCTTTGTTTATCTATTTCTTAAAGGAAGCAAAACCATTTTCTTGACATTTTCAAAGCTTGTGTTGGTGTTTGTCTGAGACAAGCCCAGCCTAAGGAAGCACTGCCCCCCGGCGCCGTTTGGCCTGGAGGAGCTCTGTGGTCTCCTCCTCATCAAGCAGGATTGGCCAGCTGAAAGCCAGGGTAAAAATAGCCATGCTCTCCTCCCCAGGCCTCTGGGGGCACAGGTGTGAGACTCGGGACCAGGACCGGGCCATCCTGAGGCTACCTGCCACCTCCGCCCCAGGCCTCTGCAAGGAGACCTCGCTGCCCTCCCATGGAGCACAAAAATCTATCGTCTTCCAGGAAACATTCCCCTTTGTTTACTCCAAGGCTGCACAAACCCAAACTCCTTCCAAATGAGCGCCTTGGTAGCACCTGAAAGCTTTTGGCTGACCAGTGTTAAAATTAATAACAACAATAACCGGCTTGACAATGCAAAAAAAAATAATAATGTGCTAAAGAAATCCTGAATGCAGAGATAACAGCTGCGCTTGAAATCCTCCACCTTTTCAGAGCTTGATGGATGAGGCAGGGTGTCTGCTCACACGTTTTATTCACAGGAGTTTTCCGTCTTCATCAGGACACAAATAAGCCCGTGGCCCCACCAGGAAGGAGCTGTACCGGCAAATTAAGGGTCTGGGAGTATTTCTGGAGATAGGGATTTTTAGGTAGGTATCAAATCTGGAAGCATTCGGGACTCGGACATTTGTCCCTCAATGTTTTCTGTGGAAATCGGGCTCTGGCTGTGCTCACAGCGCTCCACCTCCCGCCCAGGGTCCTGGTGAGGCCTCCGCGGGAGAGGTGAGCTTTCTCCTCCAGGCTCGGACACCTGAGTCCTCCTCCCGCGCGCGCAGGCGGACCCGGGTCGGAAACAAACTTCGCCCAGGCAGCTGGCAGCTCAGCCCAGAAAGGGCGCAGGCCTGGGCGAGGGCTCCGGAGTGAGTTATCCACCCGCCTATTGGGGAGCTGAGAATGCTTGGCGCTTTGCTCTGCTTTTCCTGTGATGCCTGAAATGTGGCGCGCACAGTGGGGGCTCAGCCTTAGGAGCTCCTGAAATAATCCAGGAGAACGCGGACAGCGACTGCCGGTCCTCTAGAGTCCGGGTGTCCACCGAAGCCACAGCGGGCACCCGCGGGAAGGGGTTCCCAGGGGCTACCGCGCAAGCTCCAGCCTCAGGACTCCTCCGCAACGGGTCACGAATGAGCCCCACGCACCCGAAACCCGCCCGCCCGCGCCCCGACCTCGGACCCCGGCCCGGCCCGGAGCGAGCGCAGAGGCGACCCGGCGGCAGAGGCTGACCTCGGACGGGGCCTCGCGTGCAAAGGGAAAGGCCCCGCCCAGCCTCCTCCCGAGCACAGCGGCGACCCAGACGCTGGCGTCACCGGCCCTCGCGCTCAGGGCCACGCGGCTTGCCCGGCGGGGCTCGGGTGGAAAACCACGCGCGTGGGCCTCGCGCCTGGCGGGGCTGGGCTCTTCTCGGGCTGCCCCGCGGGCTCGGGCGCCCAGGCCCGCGCAGCCCCGCCCGCAGCCAGCCCTCCCACGGCCTCGCCCGGTCCGCGCCGAGCCGGCGCAGCGCCCCGCGTGGAGCGGACCCCGCCATGAACCAGGAACCGGGGCGCCTCGCCCGCCCGAGCTGCCTGCCGAGGGGCAGCCCGGACTGGGGGTCTGGGCGTGCGGGCGGCGGCGGGAAGTTTTCCAGAGTTGCAGGCGGCAGGTGTTTCCCGTCACCAGGGCTCAGCCGGCGGAGCGGTGCTGGCGACCCTTTCCCGCGCCCCCGCCACGCGCGCCCGGTCCGCTCCGGGCACAGCCTGCCTCGGCCGCCACGCTCTCCGCTTCGCCCCGCGGTCTGCAGCTCGTCCGGGCGTGGGCAGGCCGCTGCCCTTCCGGCCCTGCTCAGCCTTCAGCGCCGGGGCGGCTGGGGACCCCGTCACACCGGCTGTGGGCCCCAGGGAGCCGCGGAGCCCCGCAGGCGAGGGCGGACGCAGGGGAGGCCCGGCCGTGCGCCCCCCGGCCCATGGGTAGTCCTTCGCCCTCGCCGCCGCCCTCCAAGCTGGGCCCCTGGACGACTGGCAGGTGGGGAAGGTCCAGGCAGGAGGGGTACTTGGTGCGGGGAACGAGCGAGCACACGGGCATCAAATCTTAGGATTCCAGCCCGGTCTTCACGGAAAGCCTAGGACCCGTGCGGCTGTTGCCCAGGGTGTGGGATGATGGGCAGCGCCGTCCACCCTGAGAGCCGCCAATGTTCACGCCCCTCCCCTCTGCGCCCCTCCAGGGCCGCCGGCGCCGCGGCCCTGGGCGGTTGGGGGCGGACACTCCCGACTCGAACCCAGGAGAAGGCCAACTTCCCAGAGGCTGGCGCCCGGAGCCTGCGGGGCCCTGCCCGGCCAGGCCGAGTGTCGGCGACCCGTGCCCCCGGCCTCTGGCCCTCGGCAGCTCCCACAACTTGCGGGCAGCAGGGGCAGCGGGAGGGGACGCGCTGGGCGGGAGGGCGCCGTGCCGCTCCTTACCCGAACCCCTTCGGGGCCCGAACTTGCGCGGCCGGCACCGACAGTGCCGACCGCGGGCCGGGGCAAAGTCCCGGGAACTCCCGCCCCGCCCGGCCTCGGCGCGGGTCCCGCTGGCTGTTTCCTCGCCAGGGACGGAGCGCGGAGGACGGCGTCTCCCAGACGAGCCGAGCCGAGCCCATTGGCGCCGCGTCCCGGCATCCGCGGTGGAGACGCCGGCGGAGCCCGGTCCCACCCGCCCGCGCACCGGGCCTTACCCGTGGCTGCAGCGAAGAGCCCGGAGCACAGGGCCAGCAGCGCCGGCAGCAGGAGCGGCGACCCGCGTCTCCGCCGCGCAGTCATGTCTGCGGCCGCCCCACGCGCGCACGGCGCCGGGCGCAGCTCCGGGAGGCGCGGCGGGCCACGGACGCAGCCGGAGAGTCCCGGGAGGGCGAGGCGAGCCCGGCCCCTGCGCCCCGGCCGCGCCTCCGCCGCCTCCGCCTCCGCCTCCGCCTCCTGCCGCTGCGGGCGCCCGGCGCGCGTCGCTCTCAAAGCATCGTCCGCGCCGCTGCAGCGCGGGGCTGCTCCGGCAGGGCAGAGCCGAGCCGGGCAGGAAGGCAGCACGGCGGCGCGACCGCGAGGGAGGGAGGCGGGGACAGGAACGCGCGCCGCCGGGAGGCCGAGGAGGCAGCCGGAGAGCGCGCCCGCGAGTGGGAGCGGGAGGGGAGGCGGGGAGCTGCGGGCGGCGCGGGCTGGACTCAACCATCCCCGCGGAGGGGCGGGGGCTGCCTCGGCGCGCACGCTGCAGAAGGAGACTCGTTGGCTCGCGTGGGGAAGCCCACGCCGCGCACGGCACGCGGGAGAAACCACGCGAGGGAGCAAGGGAGCGAAGGAGCGGGGCCGCGGGCGAGCCGGGTGCTGCGGGACTCAGGCTGGCCGGCCTCCATGGACTGCTTTCTCCTTGAGGAGCAGAGCGCCAAGCGAGCCCTGCGTAACTTGGGAAAGAAAAGCGGGTGGACGGGATGGAGCAAGGGCGCGCTGGGCCCGGACACACTGCTGTCCAAGTGCCTTTCACACCTGGGACATGCTCTAGAGCAGGGCGCCCGCAGACAGGGAGGCGCCAAGGCCCCATCTCCTCACTTTTGCTGGAGCAGGATCGCCGGACAGGAACTTCAGCTCTTAGGAAACCAGACCCCCGTGTGGCGATCTGGTTGGGAGAGCCGAGCCGCTGGGCGTGCTGGCACAGTCAGGGGAGCCAGTCGGGCACCCAGGGGTCAGGAAGGGGCCTCAGACAGGCCGAGGTCCTCCCCACTGTGCAGAGCCCTGGAGCCAGCAGAGAGGGGAGCGGGAGGCAGCAGCTGTGGCTACTCTCTGCGGGGCCTCACGGGCTCCCTGCCAGGGGCCTCTTGCGGGCCTCCGGCACACTCAGGGCAAGACAGAGAGGTGGTGGTTCAGTGGAAATAAAGCCTCAGGTCACCGTGGGGGGGGGGGGCTACCACACTCAGAACATTCCAGCGTCCAGCCACACAACTGCTTGCTGCCCTTCCCACGCGGCTGGCGGCGAGGGGTGGGCCCACGGTGGGCCCACCCTGGGCCCTGGCCCCTGGCCCCTGGCCCCTGGCCCTACACCTGCACCTTCTCAGGCCCTCCAGAGATGAAAGGGCTTCGCTGCTTCTCCTTCTGCAGGAATTCTGCCTGCTGTGTGCTCCCTACACTGTGATCCTGTGGCGTGGCGGTGAACCCAGAAGCCGCGGGGGGACTACAGGCTGCAGATGTAAGCCCTGAGCGCCAGTTCACCCAGTTCACGGAGGGCTCCTGTGGCCCCTGCGGCCAGAAGCTTTCTCTTCTAGAGGCAGCAGCTTCCAAACTGGAGGAACTGCGTCACATCTCCAGAAGTGACTCGGGTTGTCCCGGGGCAGGGTCCTTTTTGATATTTTTATTTATTTTTTGCCTCTGTTATCCTTGGAGGGAGAACAGAAAAACAAGAGCTCAGGAAACCCCAGAAATTCCCAGGGGAGAACCGTGGCTTCCACTGTTTAGGCTGAACCAGGTATGTAGAGGGGAGGGTCACCCCTCTGTGATTTTAACTCAGAGCCCAGGGTACCTGTAACTCTGCAAGTGAGCAAAAACGCCTTTTTAAGACCCAGTAAGTGCTCCAGTAGTTCACTTCGAGCTCATCAGGAAAAATTGATCTCCTTCAGGAGCTAAGGAGAAAGTGTCCTGGCTTTGCACTGCCATCCCTAACGACTTGTGTCACCTAGAAGCATTTCTGCCATTAGAAAACGTTTCCAAAATCGAACTCTCCTGGGCTATGACTCCTACGTGACTTCCAGGCTATTAGGATCCCAGGACTGCAGTTGAGTATCCCTTGGGAAACCAGACACCTTCCCCAGAGATGCTGACTCCCAGGCTCCACATTCAGCTCCCCCTCACCCTGATCCACTTAGAAAACCTTTTGCCCTTTCCCCCCAGTGTCCGTGGAAGAGATTCCATTCAAATCATTGCTAGCTGAAGATTCTGATAACCAGGAGCCATGCAGTGTTGCTGCATTTATAACGAGACATTGTCTTCCACCAGATAGAAGATAAAGAGCTCTAATAATTCATGACAAGTTGTTTCGTGGTCATACGTAGGAGAGGGTGGGAAATGGCCGTCAAATAAGATAGGCCGAATTTGTAATCTGGCTGTGTTTGTGAGTTAGTATTGCAATCTCCCAAGATGGGCAATTGCTTTGGAGGGAAATCGTGGGGCACTGCTGCCATCTAGTGCCCAGGTTTTCTTGTTTGGTGTTTCTAGAGAAATCCATCCTTGGGTCTCTGCTCTCTTACCTGATCGGGGCTCCCTTTACTGTTTTTGAGGGCCCTTCCAGGAGACGCCCTCCCTCCAGGCTGTCAGGCAACATGTGAAAGTTATTGTTACACTGGAGGCTTTCTCACTTTGATTTTGATTTTATGAAATCGCTGTAAAAGTTTGATCACTACCAAAATTCAAACGTACAGTGTCCATTGAGCTTGGGTGCTGGGCCTTCACACCAGGCATGCTGGTCATTTGTTGTTGCTGTTGATGATGATGATGATGATGATGTGGCTGGTTTCTTTTACTCCTAGGCCTTTTATTAACATTTGAACAATTCATAATTTATATCCAAGTACAGAATAAAGTTAGACTCTGAGTCTTTCCTTTTAGTCTTTCGAAATTTTAGCCTCTCAAAATATTTTTAAATGTTGACATTTTAAATTTTTCATCAACACATAGTAACTACATGTTTAGGAACACAGTGTGCTAATTCTACACCTGTATACAATGTGCAAGATGCAATCATGGTCATTGATTGGCATTGGAATCTTCTCAAACATTTAGCATTTGTTTGTGTTGGGAAGCTTTGACCTCCTCTCTCCTAAGTCTTTATGGTCACTGCTATGGCTTGTATCTACCTAGATCTCCCTCCAAATCCTCAGGCAGTCATAGGTGGGGCTTTTGGGAGCTGGCTGGATCTAGACTGTGTGACACTAAGGTTAAGGTGTTGTGGTACTAAATTCATCCACTGATTGGAATCAGCATAGTTCTGGGCGTGGCTGAGTGGATTTAATAAAGACAGAAGTTTTGGGTGGTGGCCCCACCCAAAAGGCTTATATCCTGGATGGGATAAAAAGAAAGGCAGGCTGCTGCGAGCTGCTTGGTGCTTGCTGCTTTGTTGCCTTATGCCTGCCTTGCCGTGGACTGGTTTCTTCTGGAATGCACCTTTGTTATGATGCCCTGCTTGGAGTCAGCTGACTATGGTCAGCAACTCCTAAAGCAACTAAGACAGTCACTCGACTCTTCTGGAGACTACTAGAGCTTATTCTTTCTGGGTGATTATATTTTGGGGTTCAACTCTGTCTCCCAATCTAGGCACAAAGCTGTCCATAGCCTTCAGATCCAGCTGAGCTGCTGTGGACATTGTGGCCTATGGGACCAGCCAGGAGTTCATCAGTACAGTGTTCAAAAGAAGCAGCTCTGGCATACCAAAAAGTACAAAGAACCCCCCCACCCCCAATCTGGTAGCCACTAAATAAAGACTAAATTGCTGAGATAATAGTCAAGTATCTAAAAGAGAGAGTGGGAATTAAATAATTGGATGAGGGTCAGAAAATAAGAACGTGATACTTGAGATAAATATAGATCTTTTTTAAAAAATGCACAAATGAGAATGCTAATTAACTAGCAAAGCTGTACATATGTGAAAATCTGAGAGAATATACTGTGTTGCCAGGATGGCTACATGGCACGTTTGGCTTGTTTAATGTCATACCTGAAAAAATGGGAGATAGGAAAATAGTTGGGAGAATTCCTCTCCTTAACAGAGGGGTCAGTGCCAGGCTGCGTGATTCATGCTCCTCTGATGCAGGAGCAGGAAGTCCAAGGGGGCTTAGCAGTGAGAGCAAAAGTCACATTAAAAGGGAACCTTTTGCAAAGACATGAAGCACAACCTCACTGACACCATGGCCACCTCTGTCCCCCTCAAGTCCCTGTCCCAGTGACGAGGAAAAGCAGGCTTTGAGGAATTGAGTGGTTTACAGGAGGTCTCATCTCATTAAAGGTCTCAGCAGCTGAGACACTCAGGGCTCTTGCTGCACCTGCATATAAAACCCCGCCTCGCCACTCTGCCCTGACAGACAGAAGAGCACAGGCCCCGGGAAGCCAAGGGGCCTGCCTGCATGGTTGTCCCTGCTCCTGTAGCTGTCAGATAGGAACCCAGAGCCAGACGTGCATGGAGCGCCCCACACTGAGAGTGGAGCACACATTCTTCCCAAGAGCCTGTGCAGCATTCTCCATGACAGGCCAGCACCTGGCCAATACTGGGAAGAAAGAGAGAGAACATGACCATTTGCAACTCTTTGTTCCTGAAAGTCTAGTTGTTTTTTTTTAAATAACTATTCAAATTGGCTGGTTCTAAAAGTAAAAGTGAACCATTTACCCTTATTTTTCTCAAAAAGGTAGCCCTTTATACACACACTTGCACACACACACTGCTTTAGGGTGTAGGATGACGGGATAAAGTGAGGTGCATGCTATGAAAGAGCCAGTGGGGAGAAAGAGAAAGTCGTGCGTCCTCTCCTTGCACCTTGGGGTAGCTTGAAGGGAGGACAGGGCACACAGCCTGCAACTCCAGGACGCAACACCCTGCCCTGGAGGGCTAATCACACACAGCACCAGCGGCTGACCCCAGCTCCTGGGTACCTGACACTGCACATCTGGGATGGGGCCCTAAAATTTACATCTCTAATTTTGAAGGCTAAAGGACATGCCTTGGAGCCATTTCTGTCATTGTCTAGACAAGAGGGCCTAATAAGAATAAAAAATAAGGACTCCTGCGTCTCAGTGTATGATTCCTCATCTAAAACGTGGATGAGAGCTTTCTCGTGGGGGAGTTGGAAAAGCCAAACAACATAGACGCAAGGCCCAGAAGCTGGTGAAGTCTCAAATATATGGTTCTCATTTTCTGTGTCGTCTCTGAAGGGGAAAAGAAGACACCCAGATGGGCAAAGGCACTTCCATCTGCTCTGAGCTGTATTTTAGGAGCCGCAAACTGGATCTTTCGAGAGAAAAGGAACACATTCAGTCAGTCTCTCCCGGAGTGTCTCGAGGTGAGTCCAGCAGGAATCCGTGGGCAAGCTGTGTGGGTTCTTCCCACTTAGCCTTACAAGGTCAGCTTGGCCTCTCACCCTCCGGCTGCTTCCCAAGGCTGAGCAACACCGGGGAGCTTCGAGGAGCCAGGTGGAGCCACAGCCTGGAGCTCATTAGTGACGCTGTGCGAGCCCAAGCCAGAGGTGTCCTGCCCAAGGCGGCAGGCCCGATACACAGGCAGTGGGTCAGTGCTGGCACCGTGACTCCCCGGGACTCGGTACTGTGGAGAAAGGCAGGAGAGGGCTTCCCCAGCGGCAGCGACTGCAGTGCCCTGACGGGGTCGTCCACCCACCCGTGCTCCCGCCAGCTGGAGTGTTGGGGCCAGGTTCAGGCCTCTTCTCTTGCCTGTGGAAAAGCCACTTCTTCACCTCTGGGACTCAGTTTTCTTATTTGTGAAACAAAATTCATGCTAACGCTTGCAATGTGTCTCAAGTTGTACCATTCTTACCTTTTATGTCCCTCCATTTCACCATTTTCCTGTTCTTTAGGACGGACCTGCTGTTTATCAACATGCCTCTGTGGAAGCTCCCAGAGATCTCCTCAGGGTAGGCATTCCCTGATAAAAATAATTTGAAAACATGCATGACAAAGAAATAGTCACCATCCACACACGTGGACACACACACACACACACACACACGCACACACACACATACACCATCTCTTCAGAATACCAGTCATTGCATTGACCTGTCTGTATATTTGAGTGGAGGCCTCTAACTTCATACCTTCCCTTCATAAAAGACCAGCAGACTGTGCAGTGACAACATTTAAGACCACGCCTCTCCTGACAAATATCCTGAGAGTGTTATTCAGAGGAGACGGCAATGCCATCCACTGGCTGTGTTGACTGGTGCAGGCATTCCCTGGGCTGAGTCATCTTCCTTGCTTTCTGCCCCCAATGGTGCTGTACACAGAGTCTGGGGAGAGGTTTCCAGGCCATGTGTGTGGACGGCTGGTGCTGGAGAAGACCAGGGAGACCTGGCCAGGACCCCAGGCCCTCTTTCCTTGTCCATTTCTCTCTTGATTGACCTTAAAGTTAGGGGAGTCACATAATTGCCTGTATTTCATATGTGTCAAGCCTTCCAAACTCTCTGGATTTTAACATGTCCAGGTTTTACTGTGGTCTTGCCCTCCGAGGCTTAGGGCCTTTCTGGGGATCCGGACATTCTGTAGTGAAGATGCTGGATTGGCCAAATCCTGTGAGGCGCCGTGGAAAAGTAAGATCCTCCATTTCCTGGACAAGGTGAGGTGCTGGGAAGCAGGCCACAGAACTTGCCTGAGTCTGCAGGGCCAACTTCTGAGGCATTTGCTTTTACCTCACTCACTCTACATCCTCCATCTACTCATGTGTCCACCGGTTCCTACCAAAATCCCACTCTATGGACAAATTCCTTGTCTGCACCCCATGTGGATTCTTGCTGGCTTGGGTTAATGTGTTAATTCTTCCATTTTCTAGCCAGGTGGCCTAGTGCACTTACCTAAGTGCAAAAACTGATTGCCTACTCCCCAAAAGAATATCTATTTTTTAACTTACATGATTGCTGTGAGAATTCATTAAGATGAAATGTGGAAAATGTTGAATTTGAATTTGAAAAGGAATGAGAGATTACCTCCCCCTTTCTCTGTTCTTCTTAGCTTTCCCTCTGAATTTAAATGTGTTTTTATTTTTTACGGATTCTCATTCTATTCTTATCGATTGAAATAAAAGCCTTTAACCTATTTCCTGAAATTGTGTATGCAGAATCTATTGGAAAATCTTAAAGAAGCAAGTTATCTGCTGGAAGTGGTGGCTGCACCTGTAATCCCAGCACTTTGAGAGGTGGAGATGGGAAGCTCACAAGTTTGAACCCAGCCTGGGCCACTCAGCAACTTAGTTAGACATGGTCTCAAAAATTAAGGGTTGAGGATGTAGCTCAGTGCAGAGGCCCTGAGTTCAACGCCTCCACAAAAAGCAAGTCATCATCCATTGAATTCCCATAGATCTGTCAACCTGGAATGTGTAGAATTCTGCAGTTCATGCTGTGATTCACAGGTAGGAAGAAAAACTCTTCGAGGACAGCAGTGCGGGTGTGCACTAAGAACAAACCTCACTCGAGTCCTGTATGTGCCTGCACAGAGGCTGATTCTGAAAGACACAACGAGCTGTGGGTGTTGTAAATAATCGCTGGGAAAAGGAGGGAAACAGCAACAGAAGCACAAGCCTTCTCCATCCCAACCCACTCCCTCCTGGGCCTCCACCCAAGGCCCTCTGGTGCACAAGGCCTGGCCTGAGCCTGCAGGAAGGCTGGAGCCACGTGTGGACTCCACCCAGCTCATGACGGAAGTCACCCCTCCCTCGCCACAGGTCACTGCAGCCCCCTTAGCAGCCCCGGCTCTTATCAAAGCAATGCCTTCCGTGCTCTTCCTGTCATTCTGTCAAAGTCTGAGAGAGAGAGAGACCTTCTGCAATGGAAAGGAGATCAAGAGATCCCCTCCCAAGGGAGGGAGGAGAAGCAAAAGGGAGTGTTATGTGCCTATACCACCTGCCCACAGCGAATGCAATCCTTATGTGCTGCAAATTTGCACCAATAAAAATAACAATTAAAAAAATAAAATTTATTAGTTAATCTGAAAAAAATCATTGTCAATAGTAATGGCTGGCAGATATATTAAAAAAAAATCCAATATCAGGAGAATGCAAATGGGATATCATCAATGGGATAGCATCTGACCTCATTAAAAATGGCTATTAATAAAAAGACAAAATAAATCCTGGCAAGGATGCAGAGCAAGGAGGACTCTCACACACCCTTGTTGAGGTGGCAAATAAGTACATGCATTATGGGAAACTGTATGCAGGTTTCTCAGAAAACTAGATTTAATCTGCCATACAATCAACTACCCCACTCCTGGGTATATATCCAATTGAAATGACATCAGTATAACAAGGAGATACCTAAACATCCATGTTCATTTCTGCACAAGTCACAATGACCAAAATATGGAATCAACCAAGGTGTCCATCTGTAGAAGAATAGGTAAAAAGTGGTATAGACATACTCAATGGCATATTATTCAGCCATAAAAGTATGAAATCCTGTTATTTTCAACAAGATGATTGGAACTGGTAGATATTATCAGAAGAGGTTATAAGAGAGCCACTAGCCATTGTGAGGGTGTAGAGAGACGCACCAGTAGGGAGGATAACAGGTACATGGGTTAGAGTATCAACTTCATTGGCTTTGGGATCCACCTGGCCCTTTGCTATAGCATGCTTCTGTGTAGTTCTAGTGGGTGTCTTAGGCACCCCCTCATCACTGGGGCACAGCACCTGGCACCTACAACTTTAAGGAGGAGAGGTTTGTTTTGGCTCATGGTTTCAGTCCAAGATGGATTGACTGTAAAGCAGAAATGGCAGGTGGAAGGGAACGGCAGAGGAAAGCTTTTCAGTCCATGGCATCCAGGAAGCACATGGGATACAAAGAGGAAGAGATGCCCTTTTAGGTCTGACCCCAGTGAGCCAGCTGCAAAGAGGCCAACCACTAATAGCAGTTCAGCTGTCACCCTCCCCCAACCCAATCATGCACATTTGAACACATAAGGTTTGGGGCGGGCATTCTAGATGTCAACCATAGCTGTTGGTCATAGGGGTGTGAATTTGGATATCAAATATGGCCCTGGTCATTTTCACAGCTAGAACTACTCCCATGCTCTGCTCCCTGGCTGCCATGAAATAAGCAGCTTTGCTTCTGCATGTCCTTCACCATGAGGTTTCTATTTTGGAGCCAGCTCACCATCTGAATCTCCTTAAAACATGAGGCAAATTAAAGCACCCCTTCTTTACATTTGTGAGTGTTGAGTGTTATAGCCAGCAACAGAAAAGCTGACCAATACGGAAAATTGGTACTGACATAACGGTTGGGTTTTTGCTGTGACTGTAGCTGACTGTGTAATTTAGCAGCCTTCGGAACTGGTTTGCAGGAGGAGTTTGAAAAGATTTGGAGATGCTGGCTGGAGAAATCTTAGGGTGCTATCAGTAGAACCTGAAGTGTTATTCTGAACAGAGCTCAGAAGACCACAATGTTGATAGGAATGCAAGGAAGAAAAGCCAAGATTAGAAAGTTTCAATTGGGAGCAAGGACTCCATTGGGAGTTGGACTAAAGGCCATGTGAGTTATGTTCTGGCAGAAAATGTGTCTACATTTTCCCCATGCTCTGAGACCTAGAAGAAGATGGTGAGCTAATTGATCAGATTGACATATTTCACAGCAGCTCTATAATTAGGCAATGGCATTGGTACTGCTGCCTACTTTTAATTGGGAATATGGTAAGAAGAGAGGGCTAAAGCAGAGTGGAAAAATTTGAAAAACTTAAAATTTGTCCCAGAAAGAACCCTGTGTAAATTTGGGACCAAAGGAGCTGTGTGTGCTGAAGAGATTAGTGCCATTAAAAGGAAACCATGCAGTTTGTACTGGAACAAGAAGAAAAATGCCGAGTGCATCTCAGAAATCAGCAAGACACCACTCACTGCACACTCCAAGTTGCGAGTGTGTAAGACTTTCACTGTAGAAGAGAGTTCCCTGGGACCCCTGTTTGAGAAGGCCCTCCTAGGGAGTTGTTCTCCAAGGCTTCATTCCACTGTGCTCAGGCGCTAAGAGTCTACCACAGGGAAGTCCAAGCAGGCCTAGCTGCTGCCTTGCTGATGGCAGACCTTGGCATCAGTCATGTGTTGCTGTTTTTCACTGGCACTAAGAACTTTAGATTAGTGGGATCAGAGAGACTTCCACCTAGATTTCAAGGAAAAGCCTGGGAGGCAGAAAAGGAGCCCCTGGGAGGACTATGGATGACGTTATTGGAAAGAATTGAAAAGTGCAGTACAAGCTCCAGCAAATCAAAGATCCCAGGGACATGGAACTTCAGCCAAGGAAAGCTGCAAGCTGTGAGTGGGGTCAGCACAAAAGAGGAGCCATGTGGGCTGCAAACAGGAAGGCCACAGGTGTGAGGCCATCCAAGCCGTCTTAAACTTACATTTTTACAACCTGCACTCCAGACACTGAGTCCAGAACTATAGAACTTAATGCTTGGCCTGGTGAGTTTCCATTCCTACTTTGCACTGATAGTTTTCTATCCTGCTATTTCTCCCTTTTGGAATGGGAATGTTTACCCTGTGCCATTGTACCTTGGGATTATGTAGCTTGGTTTTTATTATTTTTGCAGAGATTCATAGCTAATATTTGCCTTCAGTCTCAGAAGAGACTTGGGGTTCAACTTTTGAAAAATGTTGGCACCAAAGAGCCTTCCAGGAAGGAATTATTGTGTTTCTTGCTGTATGAAGACTAGTAGGATTATGCTAGGGCAAATTTTCAACTTTGTGTTGTTTTTATTATGGAGATCAAGTGTGGTTTGAGGAGATGTGTTTGGGTAGGGAGTTCATAGAGTGGGAAGTTGCCATTAGGGTGGAGGGTCAACCTGATTGGCTTTGGGATCTGCATGAGCAGCTGGTGCAGCACACGTCTGGATGTTTCTGGGTGGGTCTTGGGGGCATGATTTGGGTTCTACACATGGTTCCTGGTCAGTTACCCTGCTCTGCTTCCTGGCTGTCAGAAAGTAAGCAGCTTTTCTCTGCCACACCCTTCAGTGGTGTTGTTCCTACCTTGGAGCCAGCTGACTAATTTAAACTTCTCATTGCAGACACTAGATACAGTGTCCAGTAAGGGAAGAGCTGACTATTACAGTATCACAGTATAGTTAGGTGAGAGGTAACAGCTCTGACATTCTATTGCACCACAAGGTGACTATTGTCTAAAACAGTAATACCTTTAAAAATAAGTAGAGGAGCAGAGTTTGAAGGTTCTCAACACAGAGAATTGATGATATTTGAGATGATGGGAATGCTACTTACCTTAATTTCATCATCGCACCATTTATACACTGATAAGCACAAATTTTATGTCAATTAAAATAAAAAATTTAATTACTTGTTAGTAAGATGTTGACAAGCCCTTGGACATTATCTGGAAATTTGGACTGCTGCTTTGTCTTGCCAATGGGCTGCTGTTTCTCCTCCCTTTATTTTGGCTCCCATTGCCTCCTGTGGAAGTGGGACGACACCACTGTAGGCCTGCAAGGCAGCAGGGCCACTGGTCTGCTCTCTACCTCTGTGCTCTGATGTAAGACAATTTGCTAGGCAGGTGATCCCCTAAAACCCACCTGTGACACAGACATGTGCTATTCAGCATCTCTGTGGCAGCCAGTGGACCCGCCCCAGGTCTGCTCCTGGCCAAGGAAGCAGCCTGCAGGACTCCAAGCTTGCTGGGACTCTGCAGCAGGTGAGTGAGTGATGGTGGAAGCCAGAGCAGGTGGGATTTCACTGCTCATTCCTCTGTCAGCAAGGTTGTCAGCTCAGACGCCAGATGAGAGAAAATGCTGAGTCAGATTGAATTTCTGAGCGTGGAAAACAAAAACAAGATGGATCTTCATGGTCAGGCTGCTGTGCAGCTGAAGGAGAGAGGTGATCTTGCTGCTTGCAGGAGCAGGATGGTGGGAGCAGACTCTGCCCACACACAGGCTCCCGGGCACAGCTGCGCTGTGGGGTGCAGAGGGCTGGGCCATGCCTCTGATGCATCACACAGGGTCTGATTACGGTTCCATCTCAGCTCAGACTACATCCTCACATCCAGTCTGGAGGAAGCTCTGTTCTCCCTGGATTCTACAAAGATGACAATCGGAGAAAAGTGATCCTTCCTGCAGAGGGCAGGGCCTCAGGGGCCACACGTCAGCAAGGGTGCAGCATTTCAGCCCTTGTGAGGAATGTGGTCAGCAATGGGATGTCCCTGAAACTGTAGGTGTGTGCAGCACTTCCTGAGCTTTAAGAACAACCCAGGCTAAGCACAAACCAGTCTCACCTGGAGCTGGTGCCCAGCCCACACTCCATGACAGGCAGCCCTAGAGGAAGCGGCAGGGTTCCTGGAAGCAGAGGGGTTTCTGCAGGAAGGGGAGTCTTTTTCCCCCCAGGCCATAGACTCCTCAGATCCTGGCCTGTTCTAAAGACTGTAACATTTTAGCCACCACCAAAGGATGCAATCATTCCCTTTGCCCAATGCAGGAGGCTTGTGCATGGGAAACGCACGGCCAGGCCTGGAGCATACTGGGGAGCAGAAACTAGGTGTTCGAACTTGCTCCTGCAGAACCAAACTGCGCAGGTGCGGGTGCGAGTCTGCAGCATGGAGATCCACATCCAGGAACCATGGCTGCACAGTATCAGAAGGAAAGGCCTCAACCCACAGTGCTGAGGCTGGAAAAGCAGGAGGGACTTCTGGTCAGTGGCTCTGACCTCACCGCCAGCCCTGCAGAAACCTTCATATCCCTTTTAAAGATGCTTTGGCCCCAAGCTGCTCTCTGGCTTGGAGACACCTTGGGAGCAGACTACCGCATCATGTCTAAGGAGGGCTCACTGGAGAAATTCAGGCATCATCACAAGGCTAGTGAGATCCTTTCTGCTCCCAGCTCTTTCTGCTTGAGAAACTAATTCAGAGATCAAGGAAAGG